GCGGGGGGCGGACCCTGGGCGGCGGTTGAAGGGGAGGCGCGCGGGCGACCGTTATCTCTCGTCAGAGCCCGGCTGGGCTGCCCCTGGGTCAAGGGGTGACAAACGCTCGGTTTCTGACTGAATTTGGTGGGAGACCGATCGCCTTCAGCAGCAGTTGCTCTGGTTTTCGTAAAATTAGCTGCAGAAGGGTGCGTAGTTGCTTCTTCTAACTAGCCCAGGCTGTCACACTCGGTACCCCTGACATCTTTAGCCGGAGCTGGGACCAGCTGGAGCTCCAACACCCATTTCGTACCAGAAATTAACGCTTTGCCATGTAACAGGTCCTTGCACAACTGCTCCTCCTGGGTGCTCAGGTAAAGCAACAAGCTGCCCTGTTTCCAGGCTCTTCAAGTCCTTTGCTTCCCAGACCAGATCACAGCTTCCCCCGCTTGTGGAGAAACACCTGCCCCGCTGACGTTCGCATCCCCTTTGGCTCCGAAATATCACAGCAGCGATCCACCAAATTTAAAGGCTTAGAAAAACCTTTTTCTTACTGGCCTCTAAAATTTATCCAAGGAAAAGAAACCGGTGCAGAGAGTCAACAGCGAGAGGGAGTTGCAGGAAGTTGTGAGGGACTGGCATCCTCACAGGAGGTGCTGCTTTTTGCCCTCCCAAATGTCAGCATCCTGTACTAGCTAACTCATTAAATCAGAGAAAATGGATAAAATGCCAGCTAGAATATATAGGAAGGTAGTCTTTTACTAACAAACACGCAGAAATCACTGCTCTTTCCACCAATGAAATCTTAATTCAGGGGATAACTGCAAATTACATAGATGGGAAGCTGAGGTTAGGGGAAGGAGCATTTCTCATGGTGAAGCTCAAGGACTTGGCAACCAAACTTCAGCTTGGCAGATAGGATGGCTACATTAGTTCATCCACATGCCACTAGACAGCACCACTGTAGCATTTTCATTATTTTATCTTGATTCTTCTGTGGTTCTGGAGTGAGAGAGAAATAAATATTTATCAAAATATTACTACCTCTTCACTACCCTGTTCATTTAACCCGTTTGCTGCATTTTGTCTTAATGTAGACACAAACATACCAAGGCAAAAGCTGTATCTTTCTAGCTATTCCTTGTAGTACCCCGTACCACGGGCATCCTAGTTCTACCTGGGGTCTAAATAATTACCAGTCTTGCATTTTGGTATGCTTACCTTTTTGCTGGGCTGTTATTATTTGCTTTGCTGGTCACCTTCTTTTACAGTGTCCAAAAAATCCTTCTTGTCCTCCCACGCACGAGTTGGCTACAGTTTGACTGTCAGTCTTTCTCCACATTTGGAGGGAAGTTTTGTGTAAGCGGATGCTATTCCCAACAGACAGGCAGAGGGGAGCATTATGCAGCCAAGAGGAGGAAAGCAAGGTTACTTTCCAGTGGCTGTGGTTCCTGGATGTGTTTTTTTGCAGATACATACATTTACAGCGTGGAGGTTTGCACAAGAAACACTTGAGCTAGACTTGTTTTTACTGAAGTATTACCCAGAGGGGGCACACATGCTCTACCTTCCCTCCCACCGTGTACATAATCACAAAATAGCAGTGTACTGTGGTGAGGCTCAACAACAGAAGTACCAAAAAAAGAGACTTGGAGAAGGAGGAAGGAGGGAAAATAGGTAGCAAATGTGCATCTGGATATCACAGCTGAGAGAACTGCAGTTAGTAGTAATAATTTTTCTTCTCTTTTGAGACCCAGTCCATAAATGCTGGGTGATTCCAGTACTTCTCTCCATCATACACTTGCTGGGGATGTGGACCTGGGTCTCAGGGTCTTCTTAAGAAAAGAGACTGTTCTATTAAATATATTACTGCTCCACGGTGCCTTGGCAATCACAGAGATGGGATTGAAAGAGTAGTGCCCCAGGCAGGATGCTCTCTGCAGACACCTGAGATGATAGTAACTGATAGTAACTGAAATCCAGTACAGCCCACTCACCCCAAGGAACCAGCCAGGACAACTCATAGGTCATAACACACCAGTAAAAAATGGTCTTCTTGGTATTTAGTGTCCAAAGATGACTCAGCCACAGAGGTGTGAGGATTAGGAAAGAAAGCAGATGTTCATTTTTAATTTGGATGGAATTCTGACACAAAGATTGGAGGAATTTTGGGATGAACCCAAAGACCTGGCCTAATCAGGAATGAGGCTGTAGAGCTGCCAGAAGTCTCTCTGAATCACTGCTAGGTGGAAGAAATGGCCATGAAGAAAGATATGTGCAACAGGAGACAAGGACTCAAATGGCTGTCCCAGGGAAGGGTGCGAGGACCAAGTTCAGATCCTGTGGAAATAAAAGGGCTCTGACCAGAAGAGCTTTCATCAAACATTTTCATGCCATAGTCTGGTCTGGACTCGCCTTGGGCCTTTCCTCAAAATGAGCTTCTAAAACTTAAAGGCTTCATTTAAGGGGAGGTCTGGCTTCTTTTTTAGAGGATGTGTCAAGGTGCCCAGAGAGCTATGGTATTCCTTTTCACACTAAGTAAGGAGAGAAGAGAGCTGTTTGATGAAGGAGTGATGTTGAAGCAGCTGGTGCCAGTAGGCTCTCCAATAACTAGTTGAAAACTTGAAGAGCTCCAGTGTCCAAGGCTCTGCAGGGACTTTGATATACCTTGAATCATGAAACTGACAGAGCACTGTAAACATTTCTAGTATGACAGCTAGAAGGTACAACAAGGCCATGAAAAGGTTCATACTGTAAATCATACAGGCTGTAAGCAAGAAAACAAAAGGAATTTTATGTGTTTTGAGAGGAGTTGTGCTGTAGGCTTATGGCTGTGGTTCAGCTGACCTCTTCAGATGAGAAGGGAAAGGGATTGATACACTAGCAGGGCATCTCACTCAAAAATTTTTTTCTGTTTTCTCAAATGAGCTGCAAAATATTAGTGTTGCAGTCCCAAAGATGCTGAACAGCTAAAAGTGAAGTCACAACATCAAGAAGTCCTCTAACTTAGAAAAGAAAGAAAGGAGTACTTAAGAGTGGCTTTGAAACACCAAGGGCAGCCATAAAAGTCCTCAAGGTTACCTTTTGATTCTCTATTTGCATTCCCTGTGTATTTCTGTGAAATACAGAGCATGAATAGTGGGAGGAAACCAAAGATCAGATCTCAGTAGGGCAGCATCTTGTCAAGGGAGACTACATACCCTGTTTGCACACAGCAGCATAGCCTGGAGGGAGGAACTCTTGAACTGATAGCTAGGCATAAAGTTTTCAGGCAGTTGAAACAAGGCTGCTTTGGTTTTATTTCATCCATGATCTCCTTAAGGAGTTCTCAGGGAGAGCACCAACCTCCTCACTTTAAAAGATAAAACATTCTTGCACTAAGGCTTATTCTCCCAGATCTTAGGTATTGCTTTTGGTGCTCTTTGCTTAACTTTATGGAATAAACTAGGTCTCTCACTTATCTTTTAACTATGCCTAGTAATAAGCGTGATCTCAATGTGAACCAGATACACCTTAAAGGCATTAAATCCTTATTGGGATACAGTGAATGTATTATCAGGGCAGAGAGGCGTGCTTACAGAGCATCTGCTTCCCCAAATGTGTGCTGAGAGCTTGGGAGTGAGAATCCCGTCATCCCTGCAATGACTGCTGTCAGATAGTGCTGGAACCAACATAAAGGATGGGAAAGAAATATCATCAGTGCCCTCTCTGCAAGCTGGAGAAAAGATGGCTGGATATGGAGAATAGTCACGTTTGCCATATACAGCCAATAGAGAAAAATAACTTCAAATGCATGGGACTACCAGGATCCAGGAGTAGAGAGCTGAGAGGAAAAGAGGCATGCGGGAGGGGAAGAACAAAGATGCACATGAAGGTAGGATGCAGTCAAGGACCTAGCAAGCTGTTCTTGGCCAACTTAGAGAAAAATGAAGTTGAAAAGAAGTGTAGAATGATACAATATGCTAAGGATTTACTAGTAAAGGAAAGTCAGTAAACATATGGGTATGGGAAAAAAAAACAACTGGCAGTGCGCCACATGCTGGGACTCAGCCAAGTTATGCGAGTTCTGCCCCGTAACGCTTGTTCTCACAGCAGGCGGGAAGTGCAGTCTGTGTGCATTGCCCAGACAATGCTATGGCCTCTAGCTCCAGGCTTTGCCAACCAGAGGTCCACAGTGTCAGTGTACACTTGGGTGAGCACTGGGAGAAGTGGCACGTGTACGTGTGGCAGGGCTACATCACGCCTCTGAGGGCAGATGGACACATCAAAATACCTGAGGACTCTCACCCCTCCAGCACCATGGGACCAATGGGAGACACTAGGGACAGTGTTTGTCTCAGTGGTGGCACATCTTTATTTCTTCCATGTCTAAGTATGTGGGTCAGTATTGGTTGCTTAAAATATTCGTTATTCCAGGAGGAGACCCCAACTTCTTACACAAGCCACTGGGCTTGTAGAGCAGCGGGGCTG